GAGATGCGTTAGAATGAGCTAATCACAATCACTGAGCCAATATTTTCAGCTTGTTTAAATTGTCATTTTTTTTATCGTTGACCGCTTAAATGATTTGCAACCAACTTCGTTGACTCTTGTGTTTTTTTACAACATCAGACGATCTGCAAGGTACAAAATGCCAACAATCTATATTGTATTACGCCATCGTCAGAACCATTCAAAATTGATAATATATTACGTTCGTCCGCTTATTTCACTTCAGTATTTAGCAAACGGAATTCCATTAAATTTGGTGTTAATGGTATATACTGACAACGTTTGAGCTAATTTAATTAATTTCGAAAATTCATCGGTTTAGTAAGTTCATAACCTTTGCTGTACATAAAGCCAAAACTAAGTTTTATTAATTTTAGGTATTACAAATAACCCGTGTTAGGTCCATAAAATTGCCACACCATGAAATATAGCTATTACTATTGAAAATATTACTTTTATTTGGAACAATTCTGGATGCAAACGAACGAATTTTGAAATACGAGAAAAATGTTCATTGATTTTGCGCAGTGTGAATAGTCTTATAACAACAGAACTGCAGAACATTTAACAGAATAAAATAATGTAATTTATTTGTGTTTGTTGAAGACAATATGTAGTTAGATTGGAGAATGTGATAGCATTCTGATGACTCAGTTATGGAAATAGACTTAGAATTGTTATCTAAAATTGAACGAAGTTTTATTTAACTGTAGAGAGAATGAGAATACAATGCTGTAACACACCAGTCATAGGCTTCAAGAGAGTCAACAAAATTCAGTTACGAGAAACGTATTGTACATCATTCTGATAAACTTCGACATATCCCCAAAAATAGTCTAATTAGAATTATGTTTTTAGAAAACATGTAAAAACTTGATGGATGCACTTCCTGCTGTAAATGGCACGAAATAAGGAGATATTTTATGATCATTCGTTGTCAACTTTGCTTTAGCATACCCAATTAGGAAGGGCCAAGAAAAAAGGAGTAATTGGAATTGAGTGTATCACATCATCTTCTGGTCTATTCTCATTATGCTAATTTATTGAACGAAAATAAATATAACGTAGAAAAACACAGTTACTGTATTAGATGCTAGCAAGGAAATAAAAACTTTGCATTGATTAATATTCCTGTACACACTGTGTCTGTAATTAACGACTCATTAGCATAAAAAGTACGTGTTTTTTACTCCGTCTATCGCAACTGTATCAGCAGGCATCACTCTGACCCACTTCCATCTTTCTGTCATCATAAAGCGCCTACTTGCATGCAACCCGCTAAGAAACAAACGATAAGCCTCTAGCGCTTCAAAGACACGAAGCCACGTTTTAAGAGCATCAGATACTTCATCCTAATATCTACACAACTGACCGCCTTGCCCCACAGAAAGGGTAAATATCTATCATGTTAATGACCGCTGATCGATTCTCACTAGAGTGACATACTGAACTTCAGCTGATGGCTGCCATGTTCAAAGACTGGGAACGGGTTCACTTATCTGTTTAAGAACAGTCTTGATTGTATACGACAGTTTACCTCAGTTATTTATCCAATATTGGCACTGTGTCATATATATAACATGAAGGACGCTTTTTCTATGGTGGCCATAATCATGTTTTAAGAAGAACGCCCTCTCAAATTCAAAGTATTTAACAGTAAATTAACATCGGTTTCGATATATCTTCTGTTTGTTCGTCTTGTAACTATACAACGAATGTGCGTACTTGCTGCTTTATGCGTTGTCACCATTGATTACGTTTTAATACAAGCTGAAGATTCAAATCAGCCAATAAACTGCCAAAGCTTGTCACAGAATACAGTGAATGAGTAAAATTAGGAGCAGATATTCCAAGTCGGTCTCCGAGTTAAAATAGATAATTATTTTATTAGCAATTTACGAGATGAAGGATTTTATGCGCAGTTAGCAGTTTCTGCCTATTTCATTTAAGGTATTTCTGAGATATGAAATGGCAAAAAGTATAATACTTCTGACGTAAGCATATACAGGTATAATTTAGGGGGAGTTAATGTTGAAACGTCTTTGAATTGAAGTTTCTCTAGAGTTGTCATATTACCGAAAGCCACAGTGTAAAAAAGTGAAAATATGTTAGAAGCATCCAATTGGGAGTAGTGGTTGCTTAGATTCGTCTGATACCTAATTCGGATGTTTATTTCTGGCGATAGTGTGATTCCTTGGAAAGATCTGTTTTTCTTTCTCCGTTCCCGGGAAAAGCTGCAACGTTGCCAGAAATTCCAGCATCTCCCTCAACTGTTTCTGAACAGTAAGATAGAAGTTAATATTTGTATTCTCTTTCTCTCTTATGGTTTTGAAGATACGTTATTCTGAATGTACAGAATGACCCAAAAAGTTGTATACACGTCATAATACGGTGGTTGCTTGTCAGTCAGTTGCTCACCGCTGTCAGCTGTGTCAGAAGGCTAACGATGGTTATTTTGAACACACTAAATTAGTTAATTCATTTCGTACCAGTGCTGACGTATGTAATGGTTTAGTTTATTAACAACACTTAATTTCATTCACTGCATGTGTGCATACATTTGTGGACGCTCTGTATTTTAGAGGTGCCCTGTTGTAAATGTAAACATTTTTAAAAAGTCTTCTCTGTTTTATATATATATATGAAACGAGTGAAGAAATATGAACATTTTCGTTCTCTTCCAATTTTCTGCCTGGTTTAAGATCCTGAAAATAGAAATACGTCTCATGTACAGAGTGGACACAAAGAACTTTACACTTTCAAAATATTACAGAAAAAAAATTCGACGGACTTATAAACTTTACACACCCACATCAGTCGATAGACAAACACCCATAGATTTGTTTCAAATTAACCGGGCGATTGTTGCGTGCCTCCGCTAGATGTGACTAGTTTTACAAATGGCTACCCCACAGCAGATTAGAAGGTGCTTTCTGCATATAGCGAAAAAAAGTCTGTAACAGCTGCGTAACGTGAATTTCGCACACAATGTCACACGAAACCATCCAGATGAATATCCACTTACGCCCAAATCTCAGACAGAATTGAGGCTGGGAATAAGAACTGTCATTGCTTCCAACGCTGGGGACACTCTGCACAAGGTTTGAGATTTGGGATTTATTTTCTGTATCATTTTGAGAGTATAAAGTTCTTTTATACTCACCCGGTATTCTGGAGCGTCACGGAACGTGAAAATGTATTTACTTGTTCAGGAAAACACTGGTAAAAACAAACTTTCTTGCATCTTGTTGTATTTTCTTCAAACTGCCGTGAAACACATCTTCCATAACAACGTCCAGAAAGTTAATCTGAGACTGGAACCCATGTTTATCGGAAATTTAAATCTGTTGATTGTGATTTTCTGGTTTATGAACCGTGTAGTTCCTCTCAAATATTACTGTCTATGTTATCGAATTATAATGAATATGCCAAAAGAAAATTCTGAATTTTGAAAACGTGGTTATCGCAAAAGTCAGAATAGGACATGGGACTTTTCAAATCCCGCTATTATTATTTTCGGAATTTCATATGTGAAGTAGGGCCTGGCAACTCAGTAAAGAATTCAGCATAGGAAGATAACAGTCTTCTGAGATGTCGCGCCATTAAATCTGGTAGAAATTTGCCGTTTCAGAGGTATTGCTGCCTCCATCGTCATGTTATTTAATTTTCAACGCAAACATTAATTTAAAAAAATTTCTGCGTCATTTTTAATAAAGTTTGTTTTATTACTTTTCTGTGACGTGAACATGACAGTCACGCGTGGTTATCGCGGAAGCAAACAAAGCCCCTGTATTTTCGTCGTCACAACCCGCTTATCAAAGCAGTCACAGATGTTGCCGCACGATCACGGCGAACCATTAAACGATCGGTTCACATATCTGATTAACATAAAGCATAAACCGGAAAGAAGGGTCAATCTCAAATAGATTTAAGTTCATTGCAATTTTAATACCTTACTGTCTTCGATGATTGTTTAACGTGCATTTTTAACGCTGCAGAGCTGTCGCGATACATACGCAGTGTAAATTGGCATGCTTCCTACTTTGTTAATTATACATCAAACAGAAAAATTTTAAAGAAAAGTTATATATGCGAGAAGTAGGAATTTTAATGTGTCTTTTCGGACAAAAATTAAATTTTCATCAGTCTTAGTGCTGACCTTCAATAACGAATTTTATCAAAATCCGGCGAATAGTTTTGGACATCAATCATGTGGTAGGACACAGGCACACACAGTCTCGCCTTTATACGTCCACTTCATATACTTTGCGAATAGAACGCGCAATAATATAACATGTTGACAACTGATTTGTATGTTATTTAACTCTACAGTATCAACTACACAAGTTAAGCAAAGTCGAAGTGATACGAGAGGCATAATAACGGGATGTTTGGCAAAAATTCCAAGGATTGCTGCGGGCGTATTTTCAGCAGCTTAACAAATTCTCTGTATCTATTATATCTGTCTAAGTCTTCCTTGAAGTATTTCCGACCAAACTTGTGTACACATTTTTCAATTCTCACATATGTGCTACATATTACGCCAGTTCTTAACCATAACAATATCAGACGAAGAGTACAAATTATGAAACTCTTCAATTAATCCTTTTGTTTTTCATTATTTAGTTAATTCTTCTTGGTTAGGTATAAACATTCCTCTCCGTACGTGTCCTCAGGCATTCTCAATTTATGCCCATCCATGTGTAACGTTACCTTTATCTGACAGGTAGCAAAACCAAGGGACTAAAAACAGCAACAATAATACCACAATAATAACACGCTGTTAACAAGAAATGCAAATGAGATGGATGTATAAGTTATCTTACGAGAGGACAATGCAATCCCCGCTTAGCAAACACTGTTTCCTGTTTTATCTTCTCACCTAAATGTACCATCCTAAAGACATCCCAAAACAAAGCAGTAAAGAGAAAACTTGGTTAAAACTAGTGTTCGCTACGCGGCGCTGGAGTCGTAGTGGCGTCATTTTGAGCTGCTGTTGTTGCAGTGGTGAGTTGCCATTCGGCGTGCAGGGATGCACGGTCTCTGCACAAATCGCGGGAGTAGACAAGTGTCAGAGGATGTGTGAGTGAGAGAGTAGCATCAGCCGCATCTAGGAGACTAGGTAAGAAGTAGCTGCCCGCTTGGAAAATAGCGCTATTAATGATAGAAAGTGACAACCAGTTTTATGATTGAATTTGTGGTTTACATAGAATGTGAATTTGAAAGCGATGTGGAGTTAGGGGGCAATGTGAATAGTAAAAGCAAAAAGATTGTTTCAACGACTGTATAAATTGCTGTAGAAAGTGTTTAGTTTTTAAGGTTGCATAAACGGTTCTTTGACTACCAGTTATAAGATTTTAAACGTGATAATATGATTTATTTAGATAAAAGACACAGCCTATATAATGTTTGTTTACAGAAAGATGTTACAATATCGGAAAATGCCAACTTCTTGCTGCAAATGTAAACGAATATGTTTCTATGACACCACTACAAATCATAATAACAGATGCTATAGATGCGCAAATGTAATAAATGCCGCATGCAAACACGAGTATTCATATCCTGTTAGCGCGTGTATGATAGATTCCAGCTAGGCCTTTACGCTTTCAACACAGGTAATTAGCACAAAATCCGGTCCCCGGCTGAATGACCTCCTGCACACGATACTGACACACCTCCCGGGCTGAGACAGTTGAACAACGCTGCCCCTTGCAACCGGTTACAAGGGACTTGGAAAATGCGACAAACCTATGACAATAACGTATGATTTATACATGAAATATTTCTTGGGTTCGGTTCCTAAGTGAAAGATGATTAGCGTATTTAAATACATGACATTTACATAGGGCCTAATAAGATAGGAAAATTGTCATGGATTTTGAATATTTAATATACTGTTTCTCTTATCTGTTGAGAAATTGAGAAGAAAACGGAAAACTTCAGTCATGGAAGCCAATAACCAGTCTGAGATTCGAACAAGTATCATCTCGAATACAACTAACAGTGTTGCCACTACAACACCCTACTTTGTAGTCAGCTGTTTTAACATATTTCTGCGTTTTTAACATACTGTTACATAGTTTACCTGGGAAGGCTGTAGATGCAAGTGGTCATTTCTTTATTTATTTAAACTCCTATCCCAAAATTAATCTCGAGGTAGTGAAAAAATAACGAAAAAATCATACAGCTGAGATTAGAATTCGCGACCTTCCCGAACGCAGAACGGGAAACTATTCAGAATATTTACAAAATTAGCGACCTTTCCGAACGCGGAACGGGAAACTATTCAGAATATTTACATGTTAAAACGTGTAGTAATTCTCTCTCTATGAAATACAAAGTTTCAGAATAGCAAATGTTATGGAGATGTAAATTAACTACCACAAGCTCAATGAACCTCTTGTGACATGGAGTTAAAACATTCTTCCGTCCATCGTTGGCTTCAAATGACTAGCATAAATCGAAAAAGAAAAAATACACAATTGTTGGCCCTCTTTCAAGTGTTGGTTTACTTGACAGAGTTCGTATTGCTAAAAAACAGACGATATTATTGATATTATTTTCGACATTCTGGCTTTAGAGGCAAATGATCTTTGGCCTAAACCCAGATTTCGTAAGTTACTTAAAAAATAGGAGATAAATATAACAAGAATATTCAACGCCATATTCCGGGAGAAATGTCGAAATATTTACGTTGACACATCCAATAGCATTTGCAATAATTCATATTTAGAAAACAATGATACTTATGCACTGATATATTCTGTATTTAAGAAGATCAATGCAAGAAACATGTCCCGCCATCTTTCTACAGTTAATACGTAAAGCGTGCGTGGTATTAAAATAATATAAAATGGACTTTGATTTTTCCATGCAACTATAATAACAGGAATACTTGTTTAAATAAAATCAGTATGAAAAGGTTTTTGAATAATGTTTATTTTAGCTAAATATCTCAAAGAAACCCTATAATCGACGGATTAATGTCTGCAAAAATAACCATGAATACCCCATAAAATATTTTTACTGGATGTCGTAAAATAAACTAAATCACTGAACATCCTACAATGAAAGCTTCAGTTAGTTCAAAGTGAACGTGTCCAAACATCACAGATTGCGTGGGAGTAAAAGTGACTCATTCTTGACACTAGACGGAGGTGAGAAGTCAGATTTACTTACCGGATGCTTTACTTCATAGAAAACTTTCACATATGAGTATAAATCAGTTATGGCGAAAACAAAAGAAATATGCCTCTACTGGGAATTCATAACCCGATTCTCAAGCTCATATCCAGTCACTCCCTGACTGTTTTTAAGATCTTTCTTAAAGTGTACCAAAGATAGCTGTGCCAATCATTAACATTTCGTGATTGGTGTTCAGTGGTCCCTGTTCCCAGAGATAGGACGTCCAACGAAGGTTTTCTGTGATTTTTCTGAGTCCCTCAAGGCAAATATATGAATAGGTTACAACCGAAAATGTTCCACCCAATTTATAGTTTATAATCATTCTGCCATTCTATCCTACACAACTCATTAGGTTGGTATACAGTATTTAAAATAAAGTGAGAAAGAAACAAACATATAGAGTAACTGTACACGACTATACTTCAGTACTTGATTTTTCAGTGACTGGTTCTCGTTATTGTATATTTTGGAACAGTACATCAGTGAGGTATTTAAAACTGTGTGGCACAACGGAAAATCATTTTTGTAAACCCCCAGTAGAGCTTCCCAACCCGGGGATCAACGGATCCCTGGAGTCTGCAAATGTGCCTAAGAGTTCGCGACTTGACAAGAATACAATTTTCAATTGCTGTATTTCTGCAAGTTTTGACGTAAACACGTCTATATTTTAGGGTCAGAGTCATTCGGCAAAAAGTGGAACGAAAAAGTGAAACGAAAAAGTGTAACTGCGTTGTTATGTTACCTAGCAAACATCAATTGTTTACTCGGCATTATTGTTACCAAGGAAACGTCATCTGTTTACTTAGCATTGTTGTTACCTATAAAACATTTCATTACATTACCTTACCTTACCTTACATTTCATTACATTACATTACTTTACATTACATTCAGCTACCACAGACCCATCTTAAGGGTAACTAATTCAAGTTAAATGAGCAAAGTCTTAATCAAACTTTACTCAATTGTAAAGCATGTATAAAGGAAATATTTAGAATAAAGCCAATATATAAACTTCCTTTCCGTATAGACGTACTTACGTCTAATTCTCCGGAACCGTGGTTCCACTATCACTTTTTTATAAGTTTTTCCATAACATTTTGCTTCCAATTCTATATTATATTTAATCAAAATGTATGATATAATTTTGGGTTGGGGGGGGGGGGGTTCCGCAGTATCAGAAAGTTTGAAGAACACTGTTATACAGCACTGCGATCGTCCCTTGATTTTACTGCAAGACCTGTGGATACAATGCTACTGGCTTTGAATTACTCACATGTTAAAGACGAACCTACAGACGTATTTGTAGAAGAAGAAAGTACAGGGAATGGTGAACAATATTTTTATATGCATTTTGTACAAAATAGGGGTTCCGATTAAACGACCTTCCAAATTCCTCAGCATCACAGAAGATGGTACAGGATTAGCTCCATGAGACGTGTATCAAGGTAGTTTATAAATGTGTCGGTATCAAATAGAATAAGAACATACAACACTTTTAGTGATGTTCTACTGAGATTCTCATTATATTAACATTTTAAAACCAACATTTATAATGGTTATTTAAACGTTTATGACAGTATTGTTAATCCATTATTTAATACATCCCTGGGCATTGTCGATTGTTGATATAAACGACGTTTCGGGTGTTTGCTGCATAGTATTTAAAATATTCGGAGTTTGATTACAACCACTGTCATTAATAATTATTATTAGTGGTAAGAAATCTATCAGTCACCTGAAGACGGGAATAGAGCCAATTCCCGAAATGTTGTATTAAGTGTACCACAGACGCTGGACGATGTACAACATAAATTCCTATAAACATTGAGAGTACATCGGTTTTTCATTGAGAATGCTCTCGGCGGGAAATAATAAAAACAACAAAGCTTTTTGTTGATCGTTTATTTAACGAAGGTTTTAATGGTCGAGTTTGTGTAGCGTTGAATGACAGTATGCTTAGTGAATGATAAATTGGAAATTATATAGAAGTAATGCTCTAATACGTTATTGTCTCAGCGTTTTCTTGGATAGACTTCCTAAAACCACGGAAACCTTCAGTCACCATAACAGGCCTCCGGATCTAGATTTTAGCTCGAGATTTGCCGAATACAAAGCAAAAATTCTAACGGACCTGCTGAGATGTTCGGTACTTAAGTGGTTAGTGAGTAACTATATTACAAGAGACGAAAAGTGAATAAAGCTACGTGATATGGTCAAATAGCGAACAAGAGATAAAGTGATCACGTGATAGTTCTAGAGCTCGAATTAGCCACATAGGAAGTGTTGATATGGACAAGTCAGTTGAAAATTTATTGAGACATTGAGTGAGGATTCATAATTTAGATAAGTGACTGTGAGTAATTAAGTGACTTCATGAATGTGTCACTAAGTAGTAGACTGAATATGTGACTGTGAATAAATGTCTGATCAAGTGAGAGATTAATGAGTGATTTAATAAGTGTTGGGGTTAATGAGACGAATAATAGTGCTGTAAGTAAGTGATTAAGTGATTTAGTATGTGCGTTAATGAATACGTGATACTGAAAGTTGTTAAGTGATCGAGTTAATAAAGACAAATCATTAAAGGTGGCGTGTGAGTAACTAAGACGGAGATATAGTGTTTTCACGAGGTACTTAACTCGATTTGAACCTCAATATTGCAAGGTAGAAGCGTGAATTGAGACAGCATTCCATGGAACTTTCCGTATATCTTAATCCAATGAGCTTAACCATCATTGTGCACAGTGCAGAACATGTCTGTTCGAGAAGAAACAATAACAAACGGGCATTCTTCATAGAAAACTTATTATTTTTAAAATTCTTACGGAGTAATTGGAGCAGAAGACATTAAAGGGCAGAAGATTGTTTACAAGGATTTTTTATCAGCAACATAGGTTATATAAAACCGATAGTGATGATCAATATTAATAAA